AATAGTTGGGTGGTGGTGGGGGCGAAGCAGGGTGGTAACGCAACCCAAGGCCGACACGACAACAGGTTAAAATGAGCGGCCATCACATGCCGTTTTGTTTGTTGGCTGTTCTCAACGACACAAGCAGCACACATGTACACGCATGTGCGCGCACACACACCAAAAGCTGGGAATATCCTTGTCGCTGGAGAGCTTCATGATGAGCTTGTTCATCTTCAACAATGCGCTGGAAAAGCTCTCGATACACGGTGTAGAAGCCCTGACGTATCAGGAAACATGGGAGAAGCACGGTAGAAGTAAGGTCACACCCATGACATTCAAACGCATCAGGTTGAGTTTGAACAGGCACGAGCACAGACCGAACCTGGGGGCTGTCGTCATAACCAGTGAAGGCGGTCGTGGAGAAGTACGGCATCACATCCACACCCTCTGCACCATCGCCGCCGTGTGCTGCAATGTGATGTTGGCAAATGCACAAAACAAAGCTCAGCGTGTTAGAAGACGGGCACAGCACACGCAACGTGTGTGTGGGGGGGGGGTCGCTGTGTGTGTGTGTGTGTGTGTGTGTGTGTGTGTGTGTGTGTGTGTGTGTGTGTGTCTGTGTGTCTGTGTGTGTGTGTGTGTGTGTCTGTGTGTCTGTGTGTGTGTGTGCGTGTGCGTGTGCGTGTGCGTGTGCGTGTGCGTGTGCGTGTGTCTATGTGTCTGTCTGTCTGTGTGTGTGTGTGTGTGTATTACTGTGTGGCTGTGTGTGCGTGGGTGTCTGTCTGTCTGTCTGTCTGTCTGTCTGTCTGTCTGTCTGTCTGTCTGTGTGTGACATTGTCTCAGCCTGTGTCTGTGTCAACTCACTGTCTCACATTCGTGTCACGTCATGTCTGTCTGTCTGTGTGTGTGTATTACTGTGTGTGTGTGTGTGTGTGTGTCTGTGTCTGTGTGTGTGTCTGTGTCTGTGTCCGGATGACAAAGCCGAGCGCTGTGAGGACGAGAGGCGAGGAGGGCAAGCGGCGGCATCCACACCAGGTGGCAAGTGTGCCATCGGAGAATGGCTTCCCGGTGCTTGTCGTACCACGCTCGTTCTTGTGGATCGCTCAGGACGGCATATGCGGCCTGCACGAGCTGAAATTGCTGCGTTGCTTCCTCTTCATTGCCACGATTCTTGTCTGACAATGCAGCACAAAGCACAGGAGTTTGAGAACAGGGGGAACACAGAAGGTTTGCGAAGGCAGAAGGACGAATCACTCCCCTCCCCCATGCGCAGGAGCACGGGCACCTGGGTGAAGCTGCCGCGCCATGCGGCGATAGGCCTTCTTCAACTCATCATCTGTGGCGCTCTGCTCCACACCCAGCACCTGCGTGTTGTGTTGTGTTGTGTTGTGTTGTGTTGTGTTGTGTTGTGTTGTGTTGTGTTGTGTGGTGTTGTGTTGTGTGGTGTTGTGTTGTGTTGTGTTGTGTTGTGTTGTGTTGTGTTGTGTTGTGTTGTGTTGTGTTCATCAGTGATGAGAGACGCTGGAAACGCCACAAAAGGAGAAACACACACACACACACACACACATCAGCTGCACACACACACACACACCACACACACACACACACACACACACACACACACACACACACACACACACACACACACACACACACACACAACCTCGTAATGGCACTTCATCATCGTGGGGGGGGGGGTTTCAACGTGGTGTCAGAAAAATAGGATATCGGGCTAAATATAGTTGTATGAGCGGCCATCAGAGCGCTGTTTGCTTACGGAATTGTGCGAGTTCGCTGTACTCGGGAAGGTAAAGGTCCACGTGCAGATTCCACGCGTGTTGCGATAACGTTAGACAAACTGAATGAAGACTGATGTGAATAATAAGAGCCTCGTGCAAGAGAAGATGAAATCCATGAGCTTTGCAAACCTCATGAAACAGGATTCCCGTCAGCGTGATGTGGATGCAGATGGTATCAAACCAGTGTTGACGTTTGTGTATGTGACTGTGTGATTGTTCAGGCAATCAGTAGTATGGAGCGTTCACGTTCACTGGAGACAACGCACCACATCATTTACGTTTTGTCCATTAGTCACTTCAAAACTTTGGCGGCGTGGCAGAATCAACACTGCAATAGAAAAAAAAAACCAAAGGAACTGGCAGAAGATCAACGAGTGGCCGTGGCTACTCACGGGTGCAGGTCGGGTGCTGCGCTCTCACAACAGGCGCGTTGACATCCACTTCTGTTCCTGCGTATGCGTCTACTCACACTCATGTGCTTGTTTGTCATTTGGTAGCATTAATCTCGGGGGGCCGAAACGTGTGTGCTAAATTGTCGTGGACATGATGTTTGGTGTTCACGTGCTTGCCAGACGAATAACGTCGTAGCCTGGTGCGACGAGGTGTTGACAAGCATGCCATATCTGCTTCATCATGTCATTGTCCTCCCTTCTCCAGTTGCAGCCCGAAGAATTTCATATCGCTCATTTGCCTGTCCTGCGTTGTGGAATGTTCACGTCACATTTTCCTACAACATGTTGCACGTACAGTGTGTCGCATTTGTGTTTGCTCAATGTTCTGCAAATGGTGAGGGACTGCGTGGACCAGCTTCATCAGGTCGTCGCCAAGTATCTTGTGGTGTCATTCCGCGTCGTGCTTCTGCCGCGCTACGGCACCAGCCTCTTTGGCAGCGATACTACCCGCTCCATGGGTGTCTAGGCAGACTACTGTTGACATCACTGTTCCAGTGGCAATGCTTGCTGAGTCAGCAAATTCTCAACTCTCTCTCTTGCCAAGACAATTTCCTACACAACACACAGCACACACAGCACACACAGCACACACTTCACACACAGCACACACACACAAGTCTCCAACAACAGCACCACCACCATGAACTTGCAACAGATTATGAGACCCAGCTCAATTAGCGCAGACGGCATCAAGGTCTTCGCTGGCGCTGAGCAGGATGCCAACCTCTTCTTCATCACCGTCGAGGCCAAGCTCATCGCCGCTGGCATCGACGCTGGCATCATCGCCGAGGGTGGTGCTGACCACCAAGGAGACGGGCAGGCCCCAGCAGCTGCCTCATCGCCGAGCCCAAGCGCCCACGGTGCTTCGGTTCCCCGCACTCGCTCCCGCGCTCAACGCGGCCCTCGCCGCACTGGCGTCCGCCACGACGCGGGGGACCACGACGACGATGACGACGACGAGGGCGATGGCGACGACCACGGCGTTCAGCCATCTTCCTCCTCTTCCTCTCTCCCTGCGTCCGCCACTCCGAGCGGAGGAGCGCACGTGGCGTCCCGAGCCTCTGGCCTGCTGGATCCCCGTGATCCACAGGTTGACGCAGCCATCTTCGCGTTCCTCCTTGGCGTCCTGACGGGACACCCGCTGCAGCTGGCCATCACCGACAACCGTGGCCGCTCCGGTGTGCTTGCGCTGCGCCGCCTCCGCGAGCGCTACATCCGCAGCGGCAAGGACCACGTCAGCCGCCTCAGACAGCAGCTCTCCTCGACCACCTGGTTGCCCACGGACACCGTCGACACGTTCATGTCCCGCATCACGGACATCAACTCGCAGCTCCTCGCTGCCGGCGTGTCCATCCCGGAGGACGACCTGCGCACCCTCGTCCGCAACGAACTCCCCGCAGAGTTTGATGTGGCGATGCGGTTCATGGAGCGCGAGGACCCGCCGCCGTCACTGTCCAAGATGACGGCGGACCTCATCCAGGAAGAGCGACGCCTGCATCGTCCCAAGAAGCGCACGCCTGTGCTCGCCATCGGTGGGCCAGGCTCTGGCTCCTTCGCTGCATCGCCGATGCACGCTGGCACGTCGCCCTCTGACACGAGCGGTGGACCATGCTGTCCACCTGCAGAGCGCGTGACTTGCGCGTTTTGCAGCTTCCGCGGCCACTGCGCGCAGCAGTGCCGCAAGCTGCAGGCGGCCAAGCGCTACCACGTCATCGATGTGCGGCAGATCCTGGCTACGCTTCGCAACCACGGCAACGGCTGTTGAGACACGACAGGTGGTGTGTGTGTGTTTACTGTAGGCAAACGCAACAAACAAGAACACAAGGAGAATGAACAAGCACAGCAAGCTGCTGCCAAATCAACTCGGGCAGCACGCTCAAACAAACACTAGACAAGTGCACACACAGTCAATGACGCTGCCAAGGCGACATGGGCAGCGTGTGCGCGAACACAAACAATCTAAACAATGAGCAGCATGCATACATGCGCGCAGAGCAATGCTAAGCATGGCATGAATGCTTGCAGGCAAGCATACACAACAGACAACACTTCACAACACTGCATGACACGCACACATGGCATTTGCCAAGCATGACGGGCATGCACACACACATGGCACACATGACACACAACTCACGTGTGCAGAAGGAGGAGGAGAGGAGAGGCAGTTGGCACACATGCCAGCAGAGAGAAAGGAATGTTTGTCAACGGAAAAACCACAAAGCAGGTGTTGTTGGCAAACAAGACAAAACCACATGAGAAGGCAAATTAGGAAGGACTCAACACAAAACAGAAACTCACTGACTCTCAACACTCCCCCTCAACTGCCTTCCTCTGCTCCGCCTCAGCCGTCGAGGTTCCCACCAGTCGTGGCAGGTGCTGCTCGAAGGTCTGCTTGTCCAGTGCCTTGGTCAGCGCGTCGGCAACCATCCGCGTGCCGGGACAGTGCTGCAGCACAATGGTTCCGTCGGCGATGAGCTCCCGCACGAAGTGGTGGCGTACCCGGATGTGCTTCGTGCGCGGCTTGGTGACGTGGTCGTTGCCGATGGCGATGGCCGCCTGGTTATCTGTCAGCATCTTGGTGGCTCCAGCCTCGGGCTCGTCGAGGTCCATGAGCAGCTGCCGCAGGAAGACGACGTCCTGCGCTGCTGCGGAGACGGCCATGTACTCGGCCTCGGCGGTGCTCAGCGCAACCGTGGGTTGCAGCCGGCTGCTCCAAGACACAAGACAGCCGTTGATGTAGCAGGTGAAGCCCGTCGTGGAGCGGCCCGTCAGCTGGTCTGTGCCGAAGCTGGCATCGCTGTAGCACACAAGAGAGAGATTTTACAAGCGGCAATGCAGGAAAATTGACGGTGTGGTTTGTGGTTCGGCGAAGGTGGCGGAGTTTGACTTTTACGACGGCTTTGCCGTTGGTTTGTCGTGGGCGCGCGGGATGCCTCGGTCTTCGTCTTGGCGCCAAAGGCGGTACCTCAGGCGCTTGTTGATGCTTGCTATGCTGTCTTCGAGGGTTGACATGGCATTGGTCTTAGTTGCGCGACTCCTGTCACTGTGTAAACGGCCCCCACGTGTGAGGTGTGACCCGGGGGCGAGGCTTGATCTGCATCGCATTGACCCTGGGGCATTCTACCGCTTGTTCCGCGTCAATACTGTGGACGATATGCTTCGGTTGGCGGATGCACTTCGCATCCCAGACACGTACGTTACTCGCCATGGATACAGGTATGCAAATGGTACACCGATACGGATTAGTCGTAGCTGATGGGGCTTAATTGTGCACTTGGTTGTTCAAGGGTTGATCGCTGATGGGAATGTCGTGTGTGGCATCAGGGCCCGTGGCGTGGAGGCGCTGGCACTGTTACTCTACAGACTGGCATACCCTTGTCGGCTCGTGGAGATTCAGATTGCGCTTGTGGCATGGAGTGAAGCAAAGATCTCAAGTGTTATCAACTGCGTCCTGGATGACCTCTTCGCGCGATACAAGAACAAGGTGTGCTGTTCCTGGCCTTGCACGTCATGCATGTCTGTATTGAACTGCTCTGGTCTTACTTGGCCACCTTGTGTTTGTTTGGTACAGATTGCGTTTGATGAAACTATGCTGTCCAAGGAGCGGTGCAAGCTGTATGCTGACACCTTGGAACGAAAGGTTAGTGCGTGTGTGTGCATGCGTGTGTCTGTGTGCATGCGTGTGTCTGTGTGCATGCGTGTGTCTGTGTATGCCTGTGTCTGTGTGCATGCGTGTGTGTGTGTGTGCATGCGTGTGTGCATGCGTGCGTGTGTGTGTGTGTGCGTGTGTGTGTGTGCGTGTGCGTATGTGTGTGTGCATGCGTATGTGTGTGTGCATGCGTATGTGTGTGTGCATGCGTGTGTGCGTGTGTGTGTGCATGCGTGTGTGTGTGCGTGTGCGTATGTGTGTGTGCATGCGTGTGTGCGTGTGCGTGTGCGTATGTGTGTATATCTGTGCGTCTGTGTGCGTCTGTGTGTGTGCGTGCGTGTGTGTGTGCGTGTTTGCTAATGCAAGCTCACCCCCCCCCACTAGGGCTGCCCAGCACCTCCCCACTTCTTCGGTTTCATTGACGGGACCGTGAAGTCTGTTTGTCGTCCTGTTATCTTTGAGGATATCCTCTATACAGGTTACAAACGGACGCACGCCATCAAGTTCCAGGGGGTCATGACCCCCTGTGGACTGATGGCGAGTTTCTTTGGACCGTTCCCAGGGACTCACCACGACGCCAGGATGTACCATGAGTCCCGCGTGGAGGGACACATCAACAGACTTGGTACGTTGTCACGTTGTCAGAGGCTGCTTGTGTCATAGCAACTTGCTAGTGAGGTTGGCGGATGTGCGATCAACGACCTTTGAACTGTCCATCCCATTGTATTGCCTTTGCTCCCGCCTGCAGATGTCCCCGATGGCTATATGCTTTATGGGGACGGTGCGTATCCCTGGGGCCCCAGGCTTCGACGGCCTTTCCGACAGCCGCCCGCAGGAAGTGCAAAGGTGAGGCCCGATGATGTGCACAAAACGTGCACACATACACCACCTTCACTTACATCCTTACTGGCTGCAATCGAACCAAGACAACGTATCCACCTCGCACAGCCACCGAACGCTGTGTTTGCATACTCAATTACTCTCGCGTCTGCACCTATCCATGTGTGGTGGGCGACTTTAGCGACGGCACAACTACTTGATGTCAAAGTTTCGGCAAAGGTGTGTGTGCGCGTGTTTGTGTGTGTGCTCGCGTGTGTTGTCTTGCGTGTGTGAGAGCGTGTGTGTGCGTGGTGAACTCCAGAGCCTCCTATTGTTATGCTCTCGTGCCATTCGTTCAACGACTGACAAAAACATGCATACTTGCTTACATCTGATGCAGTGTGGAATGGGGCTTTGGCAAGCTCTTCACAATCTTTGCGTTCCTTGACTTCGGCAAGAACCTCAAGGTGCTGTGGCAACCTGTCGGTAAACTATGCCTTGTCGCGTGTTTACTCTGCAATTGTCACACCTGTTTGTACGGGTGTGAGACGTCTGACTTCACGGGTCTGGATCCCCCTGAGCTTGAAGAGTATGTGTGATCATGGCCACCTCTGTCTTTGTTTGTCGCTTCTATATGAACGCAGTGTGTGATGTCGATTAGCTCTGCATGCAAATGGTGTATTAAACACGCACAGATGAACTGCCGATCACAGACACACACACACACACACTCACGCACATGCTCACGCGCACACGAATGGGCGTGAAACGGCTGAGAAGGCACACACGCTTCACAAACACACAAGCACGTAAAATGAGAGTTGAAGACACACAGCAGGACAGCGGTCGCTAGATGATGCGGAAGCCTTATGGTGTTCTCTCTTCGCCCGAAGGTGATGGCGGCGGCAAAAGCCTGTCGGTGACCAGTTTGGCATCGCAAGTCTAGCTCGGTTCTGTCTTTTCATGCAAACGCCATCAAGAAAGACGCACGGGGCGGCTATGTGACTCAATAGCAGGTTGTAACAATGCTCTACAAACGCCGCAATGTAATTGCAAGCACCCATCGAACAGACACCACGGATACAATGACAACGAGAACATGCTTACCTCTCTTGCTGTTCCCTTGCGCGCTTGCAATCCTCAAGGAGCGCGTCAAGTGCCCGATGAAATACCTGCGTGTCGTCGATTGACTTGGATCGATGGTTCTTCTTGGGTTTCTTGGGTGTTGGCACGTCATCCACCGACTCAGCGATCCTGCCAGACTGCATGGCCGCGTCGATCATCTCTTGCTCTTCTGCTTGGCGCTGCTCGCGTGCGAGCGTCGTTGCCGATTTGGAGGGGGCCGCACTTGCCTGCTCGATGAACAGTGTTGCGGCCTGCATGACGCCTTCACCAAACGGAGGTGTGTTTGCGGTCCCTGCAAGCAGACAGCAAATGACACACATTGTTGACAGTGATTGAGTGCGTCAAGATTGGCAAGGTTGTACGTAGATCAGAGATGCAAAGGAGGTGGCAAGAAAGCAGGCAAGCACAGCCTACAGAAGACCGTACCTGTTGATGGCTTCTTCTTCAGGTAGTCGCGGACGATGCTGATCACCTCCTGCACAATCCGTCGAACCTTCCTAACAGTCACTGCTCGCATAAAATCAACATCACCCTCGTCCTGCAGCTGCCGGACAAAGCGATTGGTTGTGTTGGCCCATAGTTCTCCCACGCCATAACGACCCTCTCTTTGAGGTACTCCTTCAGCAATTGCAATGTTGATAACGTCGGCCTATGTGTTTGCAGAATGACATGTTCACACCCAACAGTGCAAGCCAAATGAGCTTCACTGAGGCGAATATGCACACACAGGCACACACATACACACACAGGCACACACATACACACACAGGCACACACAGACACGCACAGACGCACACGCAGACAGACACGCACAGACACACACAGACACAGACACAGACACCGATGCACACACAAACAAACAACACACACACACAGGCACACACAGGCACATACCTTGAACTCGTCCGTCCAAGTGACCCGTGCTGAGAGGCGGTGTCGCTCGACTGGCGAAGTGGACGAT